CAGGGGTCAGTTCCTGCCCTCAGACCCACAGGACACACGAGGCACACAGGCAGGACCTGTCTCCTGGCCACGCTGCCTTCAGCCATCCTCACCATTTCCTGCTGCTTGAACCACACAAGCCTTAGATGCAAATTGAAAACCCAAGAACAAACTGAAATTCCCCACTGGAAGAGGGAACTCCCAAACCCAGCTGCTCCCCAGCACTCCTCATCCCCCCAGGGCACGCTGGCTCCTCTTCAGCTGCAGCACTCCTGCCTTTTGAAGCACATCAGAGGCAGTGCCAGGGTTCTGCTGGTGCTGGAGCTGCCCTGGGGCACAGGCTGCGCCCTGCAGAGCCCCGCTCCTGGCTCAGAGGGCAGCTCTGCTGTGCCCAGGGTTCCCACCCCCACTGCCTTGGCTGTCTCTGCCTTTCCACGCTTTGGAGGCTGAGTTTGTGACCCTAAAACCCAGGGCAGAGCATGTCAGACAGCAGGAGCTGTGAAGTACCAACACTGCATCCCAAAAATGCCGGGGTGAGGAGGGCTGGCAGCGCCTGGCAGAATCCTCAGCAAGGACAGGGTGGCAGCTCAGCATCGCAGCCTTCTGCAGGGACAGCACAGCGCTGCAATGGCTTCTCATGGACTACTGGCCAAGCCCTTCAAAATCAGACATCTGCTCAATTTATCCTTGCACAGACACCTGAAATGCAGCCAGAACTGCAGCTAAACCGTGCTGGGCAAAGCTGTGCTCGGCTGACTGATGCCATGCAGGAAAAAGAAAACGGGGTGATTGCACTGCCCTCACATAAATTCTCATGTCCCAAGTTTGCTGCAGTGAAAAGTCATCAAGTATTTTGTTATGTGTCCAGAGATACAGACAGTCCCAGGTAATTCATAAAGCCAACCCAGGCCAGCAATAAGAGAACAGATTTGAAGAGTTCCAAGTTGTTAGAGCTCCCCTCAGTCTGTCTGCTAACACGAGCAAGAGAGAAAAAACTGCAACAGAAGTTACCCTGCAATCTAACATGAAAAAATCTGGTTCAGCCCTCCAGATTAATCCAGCCTGTGCCCACCATGCCCCAAAAGGCACCATGGATGGGAAGATGACCTTTGTTGAAGGCACCCACAAGAGACTGAAGAGCAGCAGCCGGGCCAGAGGAACCCAAGAGCAAAACATTTCTGCTTTTTCTAGGAATGAGGATGATGAGAAAGAAGAAAACATTGACTCACCTAGGTGGTCTCCTGCAGGTACTTCCCTCCTGCCTCTGGGGTCTGGGGTGTCCTTACCTTTAGGGCTGTGTGAACAGATTTCCCATTCCCAGGGAAATTCAGAACTGCCCGAGCCTGCCCCGAGTGACAGAACTCTTGGGGAACAAAGCACCACTGCAGCAGCTGCCAAATTCAAACCAGCACCAAACACCCTTTGCTTTCCCCTCTTGTGCTCTATTTAAGAAATAAGAACTGGGCAAACATCCCCTGAAGAGTTATTGCCACAATAATTACTGAAGACAAATCACATTCTCTGGTGGTTTTCCCTGGGGTGTATTTAATAGTATTTATTTTGGTTATTTCCAGGAATCCTTGACTTCTCTAAACTCCACAACTGTCTTTATTATTGTAAGAAATAATCCAATAATACAAAAGGGACTATCTTACATATATATTTGTGTGAGAAACTAGGACACTTCAGTGATTAGAAGGGAAGTTAGTGAGAAAATCTCAGCTACTGATATGACCCTGTGGCCATGAGGCTACGAGGGTGATGAAAGAGGTCTTTATATGGAAACATTTAACACAACAACAGGAATACAAATCAAGCCCCATTAATTTAGCTTTAAATTTTAATGAATCAGGATGTGCAGTTTACATAAAGAAGGATATGCTTAATAAAATATTAATATTTTTTGCTAAAAGAACTGTAAGTTGCAAGTTAATATAGGTTTCCTTATATAGAACGTCAGAAGTTGAAAAACCCCGAAAGAGCAAATCAAACACAGAAAATAAAAATGAGCCAAAATTCGAGGAGAGTAAAATATCATTTGTGAATGGTCTCCAAGAGCGGCCCCTCGGTGACTCACATCATTTACTTGATTTAACAAAAGCCATGGAAACATTAAAAACAGAAAGTTCTGGGCCCTTGGTTCCAGCCCAGGGGATGAGCCCTGTGGGCAGCCTGTGCCTGGTGTCCCAGGGGGAGCTCAGGTGTCCCCACAGGGGACATTCCTGGCCACAGGGCCAGCCCTGTGCAGCGAGTGACACCGGCCCAGAGAGAGCCCTGGGCTGGGAGCACCCCATGTCACCCTTGGGTCACCCCCTGTGCCATTCCCTGTGCCATTCCCTGTGCCACCCCCTGTGCCATTCCCTGTGCCATCCCCTGTGCCACCCCCTGGGTCACCCCTGGGTCACCCCTGTGCCACCCCAGTGTGTCCTGGCCACCTGTGGGTGGTGTCAGGGCAGGGCCGTGTCACACAGGCCGTTCCCTGTCCCTGCTCCCACAGGACACCTGGCAGCAGGGGCAGGGAAGCAGCCACAACCCACCAGGAATTCCCAATGTTCCTGGGAGAGCTGAGAGGAGAAACCCTGGTACAGACACTGTCCTCAGGAGTCATGGAATCATGGAGCAGCATGGGTTGGAAGGGACCTTGACAAGGGCATCTAGTGCAAGCCCCACACCTTGGGGTGTGGCTGAAGGGCCCAGCTGAGCTGGAAGGTGTCTGTGGGTGTTTGTAACCCTCCCCAGCCACGAGGCAGAGCTGGCCCTGCTGCCCAGGACCTGGGGCTGAAGCTGAGGGGATCCTGCACCCTCGAGGTGACAGCCCAGGACCTCGAGGTGACAGCCCAGGACCTCGAGGTGACAGCCCAGGACCTCGAGGTGACAGCCCAGGCACGGGGGCTGAGGCTGACACGCTCTCCAGCTTTCCCACCTGCCAGCCCTGGGCTTGCTTTCTGGGAAACACCGAAGTGTATTTGAGCAGCTGCTCCTCCGTGCCCGTTTCCCTTCAGGCACCATCCCTGAAAGGCCACCTCATCCACACGGATTAAAAACCACCACCAGAAAAGTGACTCACCCCAAAAACATTTCATTCTAGCTTTCCAAAGACAAGAAAAACTGAAAAGCATCTGCAAATGAAAGCCCAGTGGCTTCAAACTCCAACAAATCACAGCTTCATTTCCCAAGCTAGGGACTGCAGACTGGCAGAAGCAATAAAATCTGCACGATCACCTGGTGTCTGTTGGTGAGGAGCTGCGGCTCTCTGGGTACAGGAGGAGGTGGCAGGACAGAGGAGAAGGGGATAATGAGCAAACCCCCCTGTGGAGCTGTGGGGAAGCAGCAAAGGTCCCTGCTAAGGTTCTGAGTGCCCCCAGAAGCGGAAGGAGCAGGGAGGGACTCACGTTGAGCTGGAGGTCGTCTGTCCACTGGCCCACCAGGCGGTAGCCGGGCGTGCTGGTGTTGCTGCTGTGGTACTGGAAGATGTCGTAGCGCCCCGGGGCGTCCCCGTTCTTGTTGAACATCACTGGAGTGCCAGCACTGCCTGGGGGAAGGAAACAAGACAAAATCCAACCACCCAACACCAAACCTCTGCCAAATCCTTTATTGGGTCAGGGGTGAGAGCTTTCACACTGGAAACACGTCGCAGGCCGAGGCCAGCCGTCCCGCAGCCATCCCAATGTCAGGATGCTGCCATCACCCAGCCCTTCCCACAGCTCCACTATCTCTGCCTAACACAAACACAGCAAGCCCAGACGAGCCTTACCTCACCCTCCTCTGCCTGAGCCAGAAATATCAGAAGGCTCCTGTTCCCTCCCTGTCCCTCCCTCCCATCTCCCTGTCCTCAGGGAGCTCTCCAGAGAAAACTGCTCCTGTGAATGGAGCCTCCAAATGCTGCTTCCCCCTCTGGAAAATGTTCCATCTGCTGCTGAGAGATGCTGCTGGCAGAAGTCAGCCTGGCTCGAGTGAGTCTCGACTAGCAGCCAGAAATAGCTTCCTCCTCCTCAACATGTTCCATTCCCGTCACTGCCGGGCGGGACAGAGCACAGGGAGCTTGGGAAGAGCTCCCTGTGCATTCCCTTATCCAGGAAGAGCATTCCCTGTGCATTCCCTTATCCAGGAAGAGCATTCCCTGTGCTCTCTCTTACCTGGAAGAGCATTCCCTGTGCTCTCCCTGTTCCAGGAAAAGCATTCCCTGTGCTCTCCCTTCTCTGGGAAGAGCATTCCCTGTGCTGTCCCTCAGCTGGGCTCTGTGGCACTGCCAGGGGGTGCCATGGAGGACCCTGAATTAACTTTATTCACCACGGACTGAAGCACCAGCTCAGTGAGAGCAGGGCAGGAGAAGCCCTGGCACTCCCGTGCTGGCACAGCCCTGACCCTGAGCCCCCAGGTGAGCTCTCAGCACCCCCAGGTGAGCTCTCAGCACTTTATCCACCATGGCACTGCATGGGAACCTTCCCAAGAGCAGAACTCAAAGCAGAAACTCGTTTCCTCACAGCTCCAGGAGCAACCTTCCAGGGTGACATTTATTTCCAGACATATTAAAATAGGCTTGGGTAGGGTAGAGTAATATTGTGTCAAGATTGAAGATTATGACAATCCTCCAGCATATCTATATTCAAAGCTTCCTCCTCCTGTGTAACTTTTTTTCCCTAAAGCAATGAAAAATCTCTCCTGTTGTAGCACTGAACTTTAAGATTATCGTTTTCTTCATGATTCCCATTCTTCATTGAATTCCAGGGGGTGAAAAAAAGATTTGAAGGAGTGAATTAGCATAGTCTCCATTCTAGCCCTGGTAAATTGTTTCCTGTCTCTCCTACAATCCTCTGAGATCAGATACAAATTCAGTTCAAAGGCTGGCACAGAAAATCTCCCACTGAAATCTCTCCTTGCCGGCTCCTTGTGAGCACCAGGCAGATATTTAATTGTCATTACAGATTCATGTAGCCGGAATACATTGGAGTGAAACACTCAGAGTCAATCAGAAGCAATGGCTGTAACTCCTTGGCTGCTCAGGAAAGGCAGCAAAGTGCTAAATGGGGTTTGATCAGGACTCTTAGGGCTGCTCAGGGTGAGTTAGGCTCAGCTTTGTCAGAGCTGACAAGAAAGGGACACCTGAAACGGCAGGAGCTCAGGTGAGGCTCCCAAAATGCCACAGACACACCTGAGGATTGCCCAGGCCGGGGCACAGCCCCAGGGCACAGAGGAAGGTCCAGGGAGGATGGACACCACGGTCACAGCCACCCCAAAGTCAGCGCTGGGACAAACCCTGGGGGCACAGCTACGGCCACCTGGATGGGGACAGCCCCCAAATCCCAGCACAGGCACTGGGAGGGACGGGGACCCTCGGCTGCAGCAGGGCTGCCCAGCGCCGTGGGGCACTGCAGGGACCCACAGCAGCGTGCAGGGACCTCAGCACAGCTCTGGACAGCACAGGCAGGAGCAGCCCCTGTTCCAGCAGCGCTCTGGGCACACAGAAGGAGAAGGGCACACAGGGAGAAGCCTGGCATCCATGGGGAACACGAGCAGCTGTGGGCAGGGCAGCACCGCTGAGCGGCAGGCAGCAGCGTCCCGCTCCCCGCTCTGGAGCTGCAGTAATTGGGCTCCAGCCGGGGCTCTGCCCAGCGGGGCAGCCCTCCTGCACCTCCTGTGAGCTGGGTGAGGCTCTGAGCCCTTTCTGTGCCACCTGTCTGCAGGCTCTGTCAGCCCTGCTTTGCATCACTGCAGCGCTCCTTTCATGAAATAATGGAATTAATAAAAAGTGATGTAAGAAAACCGCGTCGCAGAGAGGAAACAGGCGTTTCAGAAATAACCCTTCATCTTCCAATCATTAGAACATGTCGTTATTTCGCTGGTTTTTGATAGTTTAGGATTTATTTTCTTCCTATTAAGATTTCCCAGATTTTGCTGAGCCCAGTAAGCAGTTCAGTCTCCAGGCTGCAGCTCCTTGCTCATGCAGAGCTGTGACAATTTAATTCAGCTCCCGACAAAGGAGCTGCCTTCTCCCCACACAGACACAGGGCACTTGACACCTGCAGGAAGCCCTCAAGCCCAGACACAATCTGACTGAATTTGTAGAGTTTCGATCTCTTAATCACTGCAAGATGAGAAATGAATTATGCAGAGGAGGACAGTGCACACAGGTGTCACCAGCCCAGGTGTTCATTACTCAGGGCACGTTCATGGCAGTTTGGGCACCCAAGGGGCCCCTGTGAACAGCATCTTCAGCTTTTCACTGGCAAAAACACAACTGCACTCCAAAACTTTCAGAACTTCACTGTATGAGCACTTGAGGTTGAATGTTTTCCATATTTTGGGTTTTTTGTTCTCCAGGCAATAATCATCACAAAATTCACTCTGAGCTCCTCACTCAGATCCAGCCTCTCTTCATCACAGCCTTGCTCCAGCCCTGGCTGCACTGATGGCAGCACCTCTGCAAGGAGGGCCAGCAGGATGTCCCAGCTCATGGCAGGACCAGCAGGATGAGAACAGGTGATGCTTTCCCTCTCACAGCTGCACAAAGCTCCCACTGCCCCAGCCTGGAACCCAGGACAAACCCCCGGGAGCACTGGGGAACAGGATCCACACACACAGCTACCCTTCCCAAGGACCAGCTCCGTGATGGGGACAGCGGGGGACAGACAGGGGGACAGCAGGGGACAGACAGGGGGTCAGCAGGGGACAGACAGGGGGTCAGCAGGGGACAGACAGGGTCTCTCACCGTTGAAGTTGACACTGCGGATGTACTTGAGCAGCCTCTTGCCCCCCGCGTGCTCCATCTCGGGGCACAGCCCGGCGCTGTCGGAGCACAGGTCGCGGTTCATGTGGTGCAGGGCGTGGGCCATGGCGTACACAGCATCGATCACAAACTGCACCTTCCCCTCCTGCTCGTAGTGAGAGTCCTTCCCGATGCGCTCCTGCCCTGCGGGGAACAGAGGGGACACTCTCAGGGACACTCAGGGACAGTGGGGACAGTGCTCCCCCAGCACTGAACACCCTGTGCCTCCGAGCAGTGCCACAAACCATTCTGAGCTGGCACCTCATCAACTACAGCATAACCAAACCTCATTAAAACACAACCAAACCTCATTAAAACATAACCAAACCTCATTAGAACATAACCAAACCTCATTAGAACACAACCAAACCTCATTAAAACATAACCAAACCTCATTAGAACATAACCAAACCTCATTAGAACACAACCAAACCTCATTAGAACACAACCAAACCTCATTAGAACACAACCAAACCTCATTAAAACATAACCAAACCTCATTAGAACATAACCAAACCTCATTAGAACACAACCAAACCTCATTAGAACACAACCAAACCTCATTAGAACACAACCAAACCTCATTAGAACACAACCAAACCTCATTAGAACACAACCAAACCTCATTAGAACACAACCAAACCTCATTAGAACATAACCAAACCTCATTAGAACATAACCAAACCTCATTAGAACATAACCAAACCTCATTAGAACATAACCAAACCTCATTAGAACACAACCAAACCTCCGCCACTGCCACCAGAGCCAGACACTTCTCGTGAGTTACTCTCCATAACCAGACACAAACCCTGTCCTGCTGGCCGAGAAGCCACAGGGACACTCCGGGAGCCAAATTCCGACGGGTGTGCTCCACAGCTCTGCCTTTGAAGCTGGACACACTCAAAGCAAGGCACAGCCGGGATTTAAAGCCTGGTGCTTTGTTCTGCTGCAAATCCCAGGCTCTAATTGGAAGTCAAAGGCAGATCAAGGGGAGAAAGAGTCACTTCAGAGAAACCACCGAAGGGGCTGCGGAGAACTGAGGAACGGCGGCAATTAACGGGCAATTAACGGGCAATTAACGGCACTTCGGGAAGCTCCTGTCGCTGTCACTGCCACTGTCACCGTCCCTGTCACCGTCAGTGCCAGCCCTGCTCCCCAGCCTGCCGAGCCTCGGAGCTCCCGCAGAATCCCAGCAGTGCCTTCAGTGCCGCTGGAACCCCGAGTGCATCCCCGCCGTTCCCGGAGCCCCGGGGGGACACGGCTGCTGCAGGTGCGAAACCCGAGCTCGGGAATGAAACCAGGGCAGGCAGAGCTCCAGAGCAGTGATGGAACAGGTGAATCGAAACCTTTGAAGCTGCAGGCTCTCTGGCCCTCGGGCTGTGGACAGAGGTGTGACCTGCTGCCCATGGCCGCAGGAGGACTTTGTGCTGCTCTGGTCACCTGAACTGCTCAGGGGGGCTCTGCAAACCGAGCAGGACCTTCAGAGCCTGGAACGAGGCACTGCAGGCTGGGGATCAAGAATCTGATTTATTCCTTTTCCCTAGAACTGTTCATTAACTCCCTGGCAGTGTCCCAGGCCAGGCTGGATGGGTTTGGAGCAGCCTGGGACAGTGGAAGGTGTCCCTGCCATGGCAGGGGTGACACTGGGTGGGCTTCAGGATCCCTCTCCACCCAAACCATTCTGTGATTCCATGATGGTTGAGGCACCCTCTACCAAAACCCCTCAGTTTTACATCTCAGCTCCTCTGGAAGCACTGAAATCCTGCAAGCAACTGAGCAGAAAAGGTGAGTTTCCACCGGTGAAGTTCTAGGCAGGATCCTTTTCATTATTCACTCCCTCTCATTGATTACAGAACTTATCAGAATTTCAAGCCCTGACAAGGAAAATGCTTTTAAGTGGTTTCAGCTCTGTAACCAAATGAGCAGTGCAGCAGGAATGGATGCCAGGGGAGGGGATCTGCGATTCAAATGCTGCACTCAAACAACACTGATAAGCCACAGCAAGTTCCAGAAGCACGGCTGGGCACACACACAGCAGGAGGAAAACCTTCAGCAGCAGAGAGCTGTGAGAGGAACCCAAGCAAAACACACCTGAAAAAAAACTGAGAATAATGGAACTGTGTCCTAGCATGAAAATAATAAAGGTTCTTAAGCTGTAGTAGAATTTCCAGGGACAAGGATGCTTCCCTTAGCTGGGTATTAAACATCAAGAACTGTGCACAGTAAATCCAGATGTGGAGACAGATGTAACTGCTCACCCCAAAGACGTCTGAATTTCTACAGCTGGGAGTGTGCTGTCCTTCACCAAAACACAGGCTGAGCTCCCTCCTGAAGAGATTCTGATGCAATTAGAAGTTTAACCCAAACCTGAAGCAGCGAAGAACCCACAGAGCTATTGTTATGATTTACACAGGCCAAATATTCCTCAGACTTCAAAAAACCCAGCAAATATCCAAATCAGTAGGGCTGGCTGAACAGTGTTCCCTCCAGTTTGTGTCACCCTCCTGCTGTTGCAGTGAGCAGCAAATCAGTCCCAAAGTCCATTTCCAGGCAGGAATAAACCAGAAGTGATGGGCACCATTTTAATTCCGATTTCAGCATTATTGTGGGGAGTATTTCCCCCTCCGAGGCTGAGCCAGGCAGAACGTTTTACCACAGGAAACAGCTCCTGCATAATGGGAGTAGAGAAATTCAATTATTAATTACTCTGCAAGAGAAGGAAGCTCCCAAAAGGCAGCAAGTTGCTCCAGATGAAAGCAGCAGGAGCTGTGCTGTGGGGAAGGGGCAGCCCCAGCACAGAGCTGTCCTGTCAGCACACCCTGGGGTCCCACCGAGGGAAGGTTGGAGAGCCAACCTAAAACTTGGGTGCAGCAAGAAACCACGAGCCCCTCTGTGCTGTCAGACCAAAACCTGAAGTGAAAACAAACCCCATCCGCACCATTTCTGCTCATCTTGAGGAGAAGTTGCTTTTTTAACGCGGAGAATCTCGAGGAGCCACACAACAGCGTGATGTGCTTCAGCAGTGAAGCAGCTGACACCTGGGACACTCGAACACAACGTGATTCCAGGAGAACACACTTCTGTCCCACGGGTTTGCAACGAGTGCCTTGGCGTGGCAGCAGCAGGAGGAAACACAAAAGCAGTTTATTGACACCAGCTTTTTTTGCTTCCCGAGGATCTATTTGAAGGTGATGACAAACAGTTTAACCCCCCCTTCCTCCTCGAGGCTCAAGTGCTCATCAGTCTGATTCTGAGAGACGGAGCAGCCAGGGCCGGCTTCAGGCACATCCTCACAGGAGAACAACGCTGCAACAAAGGCAGGGAAAAAGGCTCCAAACCCACAGTGCTGAGAACAGAGAGAAAGAATCCCGCTTTTTCCATCTCCTTCAGATGACAGAAGTGAAAAGCAGGTTTGAGAACTCCTGGTCACACTCCTTCATCTCCAGGCAGGCGGCGTTAACGCGTCCCCTGTTCCCAGTGCCTCTCCTTCAGCTATCCCTCTGCACTCATTGTTATCACCACACAACAGAGGGGATGTGTTAGGATGAATAAATAGTGTCTCTAGGACAATTTTTATGGCATATAATTCACACAGACAGACATCAAAATCCCACTCCATCGGTGCTTGTGCGAGATGAATTCAGACAGCACCTCGGCTCCTGAAGAATTAAACACATTTTCAAAGGGTCTGGCACAATAGTGCTGCTGAGGACCTGGTGATAGTCATCATTAACAAGAGATTTAATTTAAAGATTGTGGAATGCTCACGGTATCAAACAGGCAGCTCTTGTTTGCACACGGTGGAATTCGGCAGCTGGGGCACAAAAATCTGCACAGTTCATCCACCCCCAGCAGCATCAGCCAGCCCTGCCTGGGGACAGGGACAGCCCCACAGAGCCACCCTCCAGGGCCACATCCCTGCACCAGGGGTGAACATCCTCCCTGGGTACCCACAGACCTGCACACGCAGCACCTGAGGGCTCTGAAGGCTTCTCCACACGAGCTCTTTCTGTGAAAGCAGCTGAGAAGCAGGGCTGAGCCACCAGGCCAGGGTAAATATTGTCATTGGGAGCAGCAGAGAATGCCAACGAGGCCCCTGTGCAGTGAAATCCCTGCACTGTCACCTGGCAAAGCCCTCCAGGATCCAGTAGCAGCTCTGCAGTGACAGAATCCCCCTGGCCCAGCCTCAGCCAGCACATCTCCTTAGAGACAAAAGCCTTTATCTCAGCACCGCCCATCAATCCCATGGAATTTCCTGGGGAGAGCAGATGAGCTTTTAAATTTCTCCTGCTCAGCACACAAGGCATTGGATAACGCTCCAACCCAAAGCCCCTGCACTCCTCTGGACCAGGATCTGTGCCCAGGAGTGCTGAGCCATCCCTGGCACCAAACTCCCCCCACTCCTCTGGATGGGAGTGTTCAATTCTCCATCAGAGTAAAACAAATCCTGCCATGAACTGATCTCCTGTGATCACAGCTCAGGGCAATTATCCAACACTGCACATTTCAACTGCTGCTGGGAAATCTAAAGGGGCAGGGGGGAAGGGGAGAGGCACCAGGTGACAGCACAGCCGTGGTTTCTGTGTCACAGAGGCACATTCTGCCCAACACTCCTCCAGGGTGTTCTCAGCAGGAATCCCAGAATGGTTTGGGCTGGAAGGGACCTTGTAGATCACCCAGTGTCCCCCCAGCCATGGCAGGGACACCTCCCACTGTCCCAGGAGCTCCAGCCCCAATGTCCAGCCTGGCCTTGGGCACTGCCAGGGATCCAGGGGCTGCTCTGGGCACCTGTGCCAGGACCTCACATCCTCACAGGGGAAGGATTCCTTCCTAAATGGTTCCATCCTCCATCTAAAACAAACCAACACTCTGCAGCTGCCCTTGACTGAAATAAAACCATTCCTGGCTCCCACATTGGCACAGCACAGGGGAAGGGTGAGTTACCTGTGCATTTTCGGTCCGTGTCCTCCTTCTTGGAGCCAGTGATGGTCAGCTTGCAGTTGAAGTTCTCCTCCCAGTACTCTGCAAACCACACGTTCCTCCTGTTGTTCTCCAGGGTTCGAGAGGTGAAATAGGTGTCAAAGCCTGCAGGAGGAGAGGGCACAGCTGAGCCCTGGCTGTTCTGCAGCGGGGAGCTGCAGCCTGGGCACTGACACTGCCCTCGTGCCTCCCTCGGGACCCAGCACACGGCTCTGCCCGTGGCAGCTCACCCTGGGAAGAGAGAAAATCCTGCAGGAAAATGACTCTAACTACCAGGTGTAAAACTGGGCAAGACAAATGTAAAACAGATCAAGATCAGAAAAGTTATAAGGGAAAAGCATGGATAAGAGATGTACCGATGAGGAGTGGAAATAAATGATATGGTGCAGCTGATACCGGGCTGAGCTCACAACACTGATTTTGTTATTGGGCTGCCCAGACTCCCAGAGGAGGCATCTCCACCTCAGCAGGCTGTCAGCAGCACCTCTGTGCATCCCAATCCTCACTGGACCAGCAGCACCCTTCCACAGCACCCACATCCCGCTGCTCCCCACCGCACCTGGGGCTTTCCTGCCAAAGGAGGTTTGCACAAATGAATTAGTGCGTGTCTGTGTGCTCACACCCAGCCTCTGTCATTTCCCTGCCTTCTTCCCTTCTTCCCTGGCAGCAGCTGGAGCCACTCAGCTCCAGGAGGAACGCTGGAGGAACGCTGCCTGCAGTGGCACAGACCAAGGGCAGCTTTGTCACCTGTTTGTCACCTGTGTTCCAGGGTGCCACCACAGGCCATGCTGCTCCAGCCCTGTCACAGGCTCCTGGCACCCCAGGCCCTGCTGATTCCAAGGCTTTCCCAGCCCAGCTGCACCTTCCCAAAGCTCCCTGTCCCTCTGGAGCGTGGGGCTGCTCTCCCTGGAGGGAGAGGATGAGTTCTGTGCAGGGATCTCACCTGGCTGTGGCTGCAGCAGAGCTCTGCTCCTCAGGGATCCCCTCCACATCAAGCCCAGGCACATAAACAGTTTTCTCTTTTACTGAGAAACTCGTGGAGGAATTCAAACCAGCCAAATCTGAAACCTGGGACTTGTGAATGCTGGCTGCAGCCAGAGGAGCTCGGAGGTGAATGATCTGCCAGCCCACTGGGGATGGGAACCTCAGAGGATGTGTTCCCACTCCTGGTGCTCCAGCTGCTCTGGCACTGCAGAGGAGGGTCAGGGATGGAGCTCCCACTGCCCAAACCAGCCCTGCTACTGCAGCATCCCTGCACTCAGAAAGGGCTGCAGGTCCACACTCCATGGAAAGGGAGAACGTTCCTGGCACTGCAGCCAAGGATTCCCCTTCTGCAAGAGGTGGGTAAAGCGACACAGGCTGGCACAGCACAGGATGGAGCAGAGTCTAAGGAAAACCATCTGCCACGGGGTTAAATCAGCACAACAATCCTTCCACAGGGATAAAAATAGAGCCAGCACAAACCCAGCTGTTTTGAAACTGGAAAGGAGACTGGGAATGGGGTCAATCCCTCTCTGCTCTGTGCTCCAGTGACCCAGCTGTAACCTGTGTTTTCCCAGGGCTGAGTCTGCTGCTCTCGACACATCCCGAGCTCAGAGGGCACGACCCACATCCAAAACCCAGCCAGGAACATCAGCACTGAGGCCTTCCAGGAACAGCCTGAGAGCTAATCACAATTTTACCTGCAGCCTCACCAGCACGTGATGCAGTTTATTGAAGTCAGAAGTAGATCCCTGCTACAACAAAGGCAGCAGGAGGCTGCCAAGCCCAGAGACCCATGCAAGCAACCCATGGAAAAATGCAAGAAAACCACCAAAGCTGGCTGGGATAAAGCCTCAGTGCTGGATTGCAGTTTTACTGAGGGCTTGGGTGCGCTCTGTGAGCTCCACACGACTTTCCAGCCCTTCATGTGGGGACTGCAGCTTGAAATGAAACCTTCCCAAAATAAAATGGATCAAAGTGCAGGAAAGGAGATCCTGGGTGGGGCAGGGACCCCCATCTCTCCCTGCTCTGTTTATCCTGAGGCAGGGACTTCAGCTGGGCCTCCCACAGATGGAGTAAATAATTGGTTAAAACTCCCGGGACACCTGCTGTAGCTAATTAATAACAAACTAGTGATTTAGGAACATTGCTGTGCAGTCTCTTCAAGGGCCAGCACTATTTCTCTACCTAAACCGTTCTGTGATTCCATGATTACCATTTAGAGGATGAAATTTCCCAAGGAAAATATTCTCATGGGTGGGTCAGAAGAGCATTCAGAAAACAGACAGGTTTTAGGGACACACAGCCAAAACTTTTCCCTGCAAACCAGTGTATATTGGTTTTCCTCCTAATTAAAAGAGCATTTCAAAGGGGATATCCAGTCCTAAGACCTGCAATATCCATATGGCTGGGAAAGAGCCCCAATAAACCCTCCCCACGTGCCAAATTCACTGACCTCTGGGGAAAGTGCTCTGTAACTTAATAATGCAAAATCAATGAGTCCTGATAAAACTGTAATAGAATTCCATATGAATTACTCTAAACCTTTACAGATTTAATAACAAATAATAACATTCCCATTGATTGGTTCAATGATCCCTCTGCATTTGCAGGCAGGAATATGGATCCCTATTAAAAAGGGAGCATTTTTTACCATTCTTCTCTATGGATGGGGACAAGCTGAGAGTGACAGGGGGATGGGGCTCGGAGCTGGGCAAATCCCTGGTGATTCCCTGGTCCTGTGCAGCCACCCCTGCTGCAGTGCACATCCTGGGAATGCTGCTGCCACACGCCTGGAGAGCCTGTCCCAGCCTGGAACTGCCCTCCCTCCCAGCTGGGAACAGGAGTCCTGGAATGGTTTGGGCTGGGAGGACCCTGAATCCCACCCATCCCCATCCCTGCCCTGGGCAGGGACCCTCCCACCGGCCCAGGCTGCCCCCAGCCCTGTCCAGCCTGGCCTGGGACACTGCCAGGGGTTATTTCAGCAGCCAGGAGTGGCTGTGTACTTCCCACAGGGCTGTCCTGCAGCTCCTTCTGTGCCAGTGGAAATCTCAAATGCTTCTCTGGTTTTAGAGACTTCTTTTGGGATGAGCCTGGCTCATAAACACTCAGGGTGAACAAGGCAAACGTTCCCTGCACTAAGAGCAGACCTGAGCCTCTGCTTCACCTTTCTGACCCAAAGACACGAGGACAGCTCCCACACACAGTGCTGAACTTGAGAGTTTTGGGTTCAGAGGCTCTGGGAATTTGATAACTCAACAAAAAGCACTGGAGGATGCTTAAATGCAAAAGCAGGAAGAATCACTTCTCACCCCTGTTCGTGACCGAGCACTGCACTGGTGTGACAAGATTTAGTGATCTCCCAATGTTCTCCATATTTCATACTTTAGCAAATTACTTTTTCAGCAAATACCTCTAAGAGATATAAATAGTTCTTTTATGAGATTTTCCAAATTACAATGAATCTCTTATTACTTCAAATCACTGTGATTTGATTAAATCATTATTTTTACACGTAGAAAGATGATACTACCTAAAGGGTTCATTCATTTTCCACCACAGGATAAATATGTACAAGAACTACACTGTGATGAGACAGAGGGAAAAAGGGGAGGCATGGAGGGGGGAGTGGGGGAAAGGGACAGGATCCCAAACCCTGTGGAGGAGCTGGGACAGCCCAGGTGAGGCACAGGCACAGCAGCAGCAGGTATGGAGCCTCTCCATTTCCAGCCAGGAAAGAAACCCTCTGACCCAGGGCTGTGTTTGCCCCACTCCAAACCCCAAATGTTTGATTTCTGCCACGAACCCGTCCCTGCCTCCCTGCAGTGCCCTTCTGGCTGGGAGTGCAGGGCTCAGCTCCCTCAATGCTGGCAACTGCTCGTGCCCGGGACGCCAAAGCAGCCTGGGGCTCTGCCACGGACACCTCGGGGACACAGGGAGCTGGATCTGTCACCAGGAGAGCCAGGAGCACTCCTGGGGACAGGGACAGGGGATTGTCACTGAGAGCCAGGAGCACACCTGGGGACAGGGACAGGGGATTGTCACTGAGAGCCAGGAGCACTCCTGGGGACAGGGGATTGTCACAGCCAGGGACAGGGACAGGGACAGGGGTTTGTCACTGGGAATCAGGAGCACAGTCAGGGACAGGGACAGGGCCGGGACAGGGGTTTGTCACTGAGAGCCAGCACACCTGGGGACAGGGACAGGGGATTGTCACTGGGAATCAGGAGCACAGCCAGGGACAGGGACAGGATGGGCTGCAGGAGACAGGCAGGGGCAGCCAGGAGAAGCACAGCCTGTGGAACAGAGATGAACTCAGGGGATGCAGTGCTGGGCTGGCAGCAGTGGCAGCAGCCGGGGAAGCTCCCAGCAGCTCCAGCAAGAGCAGCAGGGATGGATTGTGATCCCAAGAGCAGCAGGGATGGATTGTGATCCCAAGAGCAGCAGGGATGGATTGTGATCCCAAGAGCAGCAGGGATGGATTGTGATCCCAAGAGCAGCAGGGGTGGCTGGTGAGCCCAAGAGCAGCAGGGGTGGATTGTGATCCCAAGAGCAGCAGGGGTGGCTGGTGAGCCCAAGAGCAGCAGGGATGGCTGGTGAGCCCAAGAGCAGCAGGGGTGGCTGGTGAGCCCAAGAGCAGCAGGGGTGGCTGGTGATCCCAAGAGCAGCAGGGGTGGCTGGTGAGCCCAAGAGCAGCAGGGGTGGCTGGTGAGCCCAAGAGCAGCAGGGGTGGCTGGTGAGCCCAAGAGCAGCAGGGATGGCTGGTGAGCCCAAGAGCAGCAGGGGTGGCTGGTGAGCCCAAGAGCAGCAGGGGTGGCTGGTGAGCCCAAGAGCAGCAGGGGTGGCTGGTGAGCCCAAGAGCAGCAGGGGTGGCTGGTGAGCCCAAGAGCAGCAGGGGTGGCTGGTGAGCCCAAGAGCAGCAGGGGTGGCTGGTGAGCCCAAGAGCAGCAGGGGTGGCTGGTGAGCCCAAGAGCAGCAGGGGTGGCTGGTGAGCCCAAGAGCAGCAGGGGTGGCTGGTGAGCCCAAGAACAGCAGGGGTGGCTGGTGAGCCCCAGGTGCCAGCAGCAGCAGCACAGCAGGAGTTTGGGGGACCTTGTTCACCTCTGGTTGGCCGTTTCACCAGC